CAAGGTAAATGTTTCATTAATGTCCGTCATAAAATTGTCTGAATTATTTGTTTTATTTGCTGTATGAAGAATTAAGGAATCTGTATGTAAGTGTGTTTGTGATGTGGTGATTATTAAGACACCGTCGGAAGTTTCTATATTTAATTTACAACAAAAGCCTATCTAATTTATTAAGTTTTTCACTTCCAATAAATCTCTACAATAGCATCCATAAATCTCCTTTAGTAGCATCTAGAAATATCTAAAGTAAAAACTTTTTCCCCTCCAATAATATCTGCAGCAGCACCTGAGCAAAAATATGATTTATGATAACTCATCGCTTATTGGATTTGGCGAACTGAATTGTTCTATACATGATGATCATGTGAGTAATTTAAGTGTTTTTGCTTGACTGAAGTGTAGTGGTTAGCAAGGCTAACTAGCAAATGGATTGAGGGATTCGATTAACAGAGCAGAAAATTTTGTTTTTGCACATTTGCGTCCCCCAATAAAATGCGTTATAGTCTGTACAATTATGTTTAGAAAGATGCAAAGGATAAAAAAAAACCTGCTTCAGATACCGCTTTTCGTTTAATAAATGTATCTCGGGAGTTAATGTGTAGGTGGGTTAACTTCTATCTGTATACTGGAGTAGCAGGAAACTACACTGGAGAAGAGTTCACGTACCCTTTATAAACTCTTTAAAATTTATAATGCGTCAACTCGACGCTAATAAACTTCGCCTCTTACTTGGGCGGTAACTGAAAGTCAGATAATTGAAACTAAAAGTTGGAATGTTAACAAGTGATGAAACTAGCCTACAGGGCTCAGCGAGATCCCGAACTTATAACCCCCTTTGAAACTAGAGGCAGCAGATAAATGCAAGTAAGTCACTTGAACCAGCAATAATCAAACATACTTACGGCAGCTAGAGCCTAACTACCTCTTTCTCCTACCGAAACTCGGCTTTTAACTGCTTCGCTCAAAATAGAAAATTTGCATTCGTTCACGCGTGCTACAACATTTAACTATTCTGGCAGAGACAATTAGGGAAATGAAGACTTATAGAAAAGTTTCAAATAAAACTTTAAATTATTAGTTAAAATAAATATAAATCCCTACAAATGATTACTGTGAAAATGAAATGATCGAACTTAGATTTCTGCAGCATCCTGATCGCTGCTCCATCTTGTAATCTAATATATTATTCTGCAATGGCCATGTTATACGGTTATTCAACACATTTAAAAGACAAATAGCCTCAAAAGAATCGTTCTGACTATCATATGAATTATTGTTCCATATGCCTTCAAATCAAGTTTGAAATAAAATCTATCCAATAAACACATCAATTTGACTGCTACACGAACTGAAATTTATAAGCAAATTCCACGGATTACGGATTTTATCCATTATTTAAGTCAAAAAGTTATCCTCATTGCCTCTTCAAACGGAAAAAGAAGCTGATGACCTCTTCGGAAAGGTAAAAGAGCACTATGAATGATGAAGCAACATGAGTTATAATTACAAGCGTGTATAACTGATGCTACATGGGCTAAATGGAAACATGCATACATAAAACGTTCATAAACTATTACCTGATTTTTATTTCCATAAAGACGTTCACAATCGCTTTCGATCTTGCAACCGTTTCCGCTAAATCTAGCATAGAAGTTACATTATCTTTCACAGATAATACTAGTATTTACCCTCAGATTTTATCCTGAAAATGTGTTTCAAAATTTTCTTCCTGTTCGTTTTCTATATAACATCTTTTAGTTTCTCGTACTGAAGTCATGATCGCCTGGGTGTGATTGAAATTCAGAACTTTTAATAAAATTACCTAAATTTTGCTGATTTAGTAAATAATAAGAATACAGTTTATTTATTACTGGAACTATCAGATATAATAAAGATGATCTGGTGAAAATGTTATAAGCAAATAAATATTATATCCTAAGTTTTAGTCAATATATATTTTAAGACTCAAATTTCATCTTTCTTCAAATTAAAAGCAGCTTTCTTTTCAAGGATACGAATTTTACGTAATTTTGAATAAATTAGAATCTGATAGCTTAATTAAGTTCCGGCAATAACAAATTTCCTTGGAGGTACTACATTCGATACTTTAAGTACAACGATTAGTTCTAACTCAAGGGGAAAAATTTCTCACTCATTTCATTTGCCAGTTTAAACCGTTATTTTAATTGAATCAAAAGATTCATTTATCTGTATCAGCGTTTCCAGAAATAAATGTTTCAGTTGTATAAAAACTCTTATTTTTTTTTCAATATTTTCCTTGTGCATTATCTACACTTGTAAGAACTGTGCTTAAACGCAGCCTTCGGCTGCGCTTGTTGAAATGGTAATTTGACTTGCATTTCAATTTAGTTAAGAATTTCATATTAAGTACAAAGTTTGTGTCGTCATTCTTGAAATTGTTTTATTCGCTATGTTTTCAGATAAGTAATTGCATCTCCGCTATCTTCAGAATCAAATATATTATGCTGTAGTGAATTACATTTTCGTTTGCATATTAAGTACGACGACATGTGCAGAGAAGAATAAAATTTTAGTAGTCATTATAAATACATGTAATCGCAGTATGGATGATCTTTATATTCCTTACGTTGCGAATGCATTTTTAAAATATAAAGAACTAATACAAGAGAATAAGGTTTACAAATTAGCAAAACTATAACAGGTATCTTTTATAATTTGATAATTAATTAATCTTTTAAATTTAAAATTAAAAAAAATGTCAGATTAAAATATTTTGTATATATTAAAAATTCGCAAGTACGTGCATTAAAAAAAATTTATCACCAGTCATCTTCAAGGCAACACCCATGGAAAAACGGATATTTCCTTCAGTGCTCTTGACACTCCAGGACATACTTGCAGCAGACCTCTTTAGCAGCACCCTAAATTAGCAGTCCACTGGTTTAGAATAGCTTACACTATATAAAAACGTAGACGCAGGAAAATTATCTTAGTAAGAAAGAACAATCAGATCAAAATCTGAAAATGCAGGGTGTATTAGTACAGCGGTGACAAAATTTGAGGAGAGATAGAGTGCACCTAGATGTTAGGAAATCACATAAGAATGCATGGTTGAAAACGCTTTCTTATGGCGGTAGTTACGACACAAAAGTCAAGAAAGAAAGGCCACAAACAATGAGACAAAACATGTTTTATTATGTTTAGTACAGCAGAAACCTACAATTAAGAACGAAAATAAACTACGATCGTCATTAAAGAAGGTGTTCGAAATTACGACCCCGGACCGTGACGCAGGCCTCATTTCTCTGGCGCATGGAAGATCTACATCAAGAATGGAAGATCGCATGGTAGCATGACGCACGGTTCCTGCATCAAGGCCCGTGGCGTAATTTCGAACACCTTCTTTGACGATGATCCTTGTCTCTTTATGTTGTTTATTCTTTGCTTTGGTTGTACCCCGAATAATAAACATATTTTCTCACCCCTGTTCGTGTTCTTTCTTTCTTGACTTTTATGTCGACACTACCGCCCCAGAAAAGCGTTTCCGACCATGAATTCTTTTGTGATTTCCCATCGTCTAGGTATACTCTTTCTCTCCTGAAAGTTTGTCAACGCTGTACTGACACACCGTGTATACAGTCAGTAAGGGGATTTTAGTATGATAAGGATCCGTTTGTGATCACAGAATTCTCAATTTCTTTGCTCAGGTGCACCCTGCATAAAACACAGCATCGAGATAAAGGATCAGTAAACGATTTACTTCCATTTGTGCTAGAATGTAGGCTAGGCTGTTCTAGATTATGCTATTTAATGTTTTTTACGTAAAAGTAAGCTAATGGGTTGTAATAGTCAAATTCAATTACTGGGTATTTTACAAAAGTCCTGTGAACATTTTGAACAAAGCAATATTATCCTATATTGTTAAATATAAATGTAAAATGAGATTAATTAATTTTATTTCTTCTTCACAGCTGTTAAGGACCGTTAAATAGGACAGCGCTTGTATTCTGAGCAACATCTTTATCTACTGAGTTTTCTTTTACATCATTTTGATTTTTATTCATTCTGTGTGTCATTTACAAGGAAATAGGTTTTATTTTGTATTTCGTTAAGAGATTTGTATAAATTTGCTAAGTGGAAGCTAAGCATTGGTATGGTTCTTTCTCAAATTTTGCGGTTCATTTTAAAAGGAGAATTGGCATTTTAAAATTTAAATTAATTTAATGCCTTTCTGTAATTACTGCCGAAATGTTAAAATTCAGATTTTTACTTGTGCTGAAATCACCTAAACTAAGATGACTATGATGCGTTTTCGATTAAATTCTCTTCCCTAGCTTCAAACCTACATTTGGCATAAATTTTGCAAGTTTCGCAATTGCGTCAGATCTTTTTTTTTCTCTTATCTGATTAGATTTCTAGATTGTAATGATTCTGATGAAATAAGCCCTACTGGCTATTTTCCGTGCGAAAAAGGTTTTGTATAAAAGTTGTAAATAATATTTATAATCTTGTCATATATTTTATTTAAATGTGGAAAAGATATTTTTGAAAATTCCAAAATTAATCTCTCTAATTTGTTGTGTATTTGAGTTTATTCGGCTTCTCAGCTGTTTATTACTACGATTCAGCTCTATATTAGACTTTAGCAATCGTTCTTGAACAATGCTAGACAGAAATCGTGTCTCAAGCATAATATGTTATACTGGAATGCGTAATTCACAAGTGCACATAAGTATCGCCACTGAGGGAGTAAAATTCTGTGCAATTTTAAAATTTAATGTTTGGTCTCTTTAGGCATTTTACCAGTACATTAAAAACCAGGTGACATGAAATGATAGAAATGTTACTGGAATCTTATTGATTCCCACTAGAAGCCCCTCCCTCGGTAACGATACAAATGTGCATTTACGAAATATGCTACCAGGATTTTCTCAGTTCTTTAAACTGCGTTAAGAGTCCACGTACTATGCACGTTGTGCCTACGATTTATTAGCTTTGACAAAATGAACTTGCCTGCAACACTTAGAAAACACATTTAATGAAAGTCTAAGATGTAGTCTTTATATAAATGAATTCATTTTTATATTAGCTTGTTTAAATTTATAATGAAGCTCCTGGTATTGAATGGTGAACGATTTGCATAAGCCCACATCTTCATAACAGGAGTTTTGTCTTGCTTCAGTACTTTTTTTTCTGTCTTCAAAGGAGATCTGGATAATGAAATTATTACTCGGGATTATTAAGTTGCTAATTTTTGGAAAAGAAGCAAAAAGAGTTTTAAAGTAACGGAAGCACATAAAAAAAAACGGTTTTTTAATATTAATGACATTGAAGAAAATATGTTTGCAGTACTTTGAATGTAAAATACTTTCACCATTATTTTGACCATCAGTATCTCTAAATATATGATAATTTAATGACAATAGATCAGTTTTTAAATTTAATTATGAATAGAAGAATGCTTGACTTAGATAGGTGAACTTACAGAACTTCCAAATTTTCAGTGGACTTCCTTGCACAAAGTAAAAAGGAATTATTGTAATCGCGAAAAGATTCAGGCAGCATATTTCAACGAAAATATCCATTTTGACCGCTATCGAATGTAATTTAAAGATGTTTTTGCATGACATCTGTACATAAGAACAGAATAAAAGACTCTTCTTCACCAAAACAATTATAAAACTGCTTTAAAATGAATTCTGAAGAGAATTTTTCGTGGCGTCTGTACGAATGTATGTACATACGTATCTCGCATAACTCAAAAACGAGTAGCCTCAGAACGTTGAAATTTTGTATATGGGACTATTATAACATGTAGATGTGCACCTCGAATTTTGGCTGCAATCGGCCGCACCAAACGTATATAAATATATTTATATATATATCCACTCTGTTACCCGGCTCAGTGATCTCAGTTTCTTTACTCGTATATGTTTGTAAATTATACATTTTTTTCTTTAAAAATTATTGAATTATGTTGTTCTTATCTTCCGGTTAAGAGTTTTATGCCTTATAATCTGGAAGCAATATTTGTACAATTATCAACAATTTAAAAGCTGTTTAAGTTCGGTTAAGTTTTAAATAACATGGCGGACATATTTGTTTACATTTGAAATAGCAGAATAATAGATTTGTTGCCAACCTAGAGAGACTAAGCTTCGCAACAACGAAGATAACGCCTTCATTTATTATTGCGAATTAAATCATGCTTAATCCTTTCTGGAATTTTTTTGAGGAAATAAGTGTTAAGTTTTTATTTTGAGTTTTTATGTATTTTTGCCTTGTCGCGAAGTGAGAACTGAATTAATTGAATGAGAAATACAAAATTGTCTGTGAAAAACAGTTTTTAGTCCAAAGGGATTTGAATCCCGAAGGATTATTAGTTTCGTTTTGGCATTTTGCGTCGGACTCATAAATGTCGGTTCACTTTTCAAACTGTTGCCACAAAATGTTAGAGTCCTGCATTATATTTGAAGAAATTAAATAATGAAAAATCTGCATAAATGTATGTATATTTCTCGTATTGTGATAAAATAACGGTACATAGAGTCATCGAATTTTGAATAACGTAATCCTCCAACGAATATGAGCATGTGGAAGACCAAATTTGAAATTTGAAATTTGTTTTATGATCGATTTCCTATTTTTTAAAACTTTGACGAATTTTTTTATTAATAAACTCAAGGATTTCAAAGCGAGCAATGGCAACGTTGTGCAGAAAAAACATTTTTATCTCCAGCGCGTGAGTCTCTGTATCGGAAATTCTAAAGATATGCTCGTTTTAAAACTATTTTGCGATATTGCTGTTGCACTGGATCTTATGGTTTAAGTGCGAGGAACATGATATTTAATAAAGAAAGGTAACACACAAAATGTTAAAAAACGCCCCTTTGGACGTAATTTAAAATCTGAAACATTTCAGATTTTTTTTGTTTTGTTTGCTTAATTTCTTTTATACATCGTTCTAGCTTTATTACAGTATTTGAATAGAATATGTGGCAACGATAAGATAATTCTTCAAATGATATAAATTTTGTGCATTCTGAGTTATAATATGAACGAAATATAATACTGTTAAGTGAACCTAGCGCCAGAGTGTCGCTATGCTAAACAAATATAGTGAATTTTAAAGAGTGCATTTATTCTATTGTGGTTGATGCGCTGTCGACAAAGTAGATTTAATTTAATTTAGTAGGTTTAAATGAAATGCAAGAAAAAATGCGTATAATTTAGTATTCCGTACAAGGAAGTCATGTGGTGTACAGATCAGATTTTTTTATTTTGTTGTAATTGGAAAGTTTGAAACATAGATTTCAAGCATGCTCAAAAATCCAGCTGGGATGATTACTTAACATCGAAAAATGCTGAACAGGGTAAAAATGCTTATAATTCCTTATGGTGTTTTTGTGGAATATAAGCAAAATTAGCGAATGATTGGGAGGAATTTTAAACCTCTGAAGAGCAGTTACCGATAGGTGGTAGAAAAATTGACAACGCAAGCTGAACTTGTAAATTATCTTGAAAAATTCAACTTTTGTTCTATGTATTTAGTAATCAAACAGGCATAAGCGCATACATATGCTGCAGAAATAAACGAAATTAAACTATCGAACACTTTTGAAGTCGAGAAGAGTTCCGAGAAGGAGCACTTTTGTGGATTGACAAGTTTCGCTTTGATAGAATACAGAAATATAGCTGCGTTTTAAAATACCGAGTTACAAAATTCCCACACGAATCGAATTTCTTCAAAATTCCGTTCAGACATGTAACAAATTTCCCTTTCCGGCGAAGAGGAGCTAAGGAAATTTTGATCATCAGTCATTCTCCTCTGCCACGGCCCGAAAATGTTTCCTTCCTTTTTACATTTGGAGCCTTCAGTCATGAATAATATTCAGAGGCTCGTACGTCACGGGCAGCTGACTTCTGAAGCAGAATAACTTTACGCTACGGTTGTTGCCCCAGTTTTCATAACATCGCGGCAAGTATTAGCGCACTCGAAAAAAGCGAGACCTTCAACAATTTTATGTTTTTAAATTCTGAGTTATGTAAAATATCGAGAAATATTTTTTTCGTAGCAGATACAACTTCAGCACGAAGAAATTTGTTCATAAGATTGCATTTTCCGGAACTTGTTAAAATCTGAAATTTAGAAGAAAGATATGAAAAAAGATTTGAAACTTAAATATTACTTTACTTCTAACTCTTGCAAATCTTGCTAACATACTGAAACTCCCAATAACAGCTTTCAAACTGAAAAAATTTTGCATGATGTTTTTGAAAAGCAGCTTATTTCCTGAGCTCTGTAGCACTAAGTCTCTCATATTTGCAGAAAAGATATGCAAAAGAATGCAATAAACAACTAGAAACACGACGTCTCGAATACGCGCCGAATGTACTGGCCATTACACCACGAAGGCATGCTAAGAAGTCGGGGGAAATACCTTATAGAAATACCTTATATTTAAAATGAAATAATCTCTTTTGTTCTGTATATTACCATAAAATAATGAATATTATAATAGTGCTTGGTTTACATAACCATTTGAAAGCTTCGTAAGTGAGAAATACGAAGACATATAAAAATAATTTTGCATTCCCAAGAATACAAGTCAAAACGTTTTCAATAATTCGCAATAGATTTGATTATTTTAATCACAGCAAAACGCATGGCAGCTATCTGCTTAGCTCCTTCCCTATTTTTGTGTCTATAGAAAACATCATTTCGCATTAAAAACAGTGTCATAAAACCTTCTTCTCTATTAGGATTTTCTCCAGATATCTTTCGGATCAACACCTGTTAAATTCCCTAATTACACATGTTGAATTCCCTACATGTTATGACAGTCATATATACAAAATTTCAACGTTCTGAGGTTACACATGTTTTAGTTATACGAGATACATACATACATACATACTTACGTAACGTACAGACGTTACGAAGAAATTTCTTCTGAATCCATTTTAAATCTTTTTTGCAACCCGTTTTAGGAAAAATATCCCTTTATTCTGTCCATACACACAGATGTTACGCATAAAAATCGTTAAATTGCTTTTGATCACGGTCGAAATGGATATTTTCGTTGAAACACGATAGCGGAAACTTTTTGCGATTACAATACTTCATTTACTTCGCACAAGGAAGTAAAAATACGTAAAATGTACTGTTTTATAAACAGCTAGTGTTTGCTTTTATTTCTCAGCTGATATCTTTCATTGAACTTTCTTCATAAGTATTTAAAAAGAAATGCTAAGTAGAACATTGATGAAAAAATCGCAAAACGTGAGCAATTATCTAACAGAGATTACCATGAGGCTGTCCATTTTTCCTCCTGTATGTGACCATTTCGATATCTTCAAAATGCCCACACTCACGAAAGCAAGTATAATATCATGATGTGAGTTGCAATTATTAAAAATTAATATATTTTAATATTAAAATTTAACAATAGAAATGAGAGATAAAGAAAGGTGCTTTCTTCTTGCTTTCAGGTAACATAATAAGTTATTGCTTTGTCTTGCCAGTCTTTAAGTAGTTAATTGTATGTTACTAATTCAACATATTATAATCCAAGTTTTGATCTTAATATCCTTTAATTGCTCAACTCTAAAACTGCTTGTATGCTCATCTTAGAAACATATTTAGCAAAGGGGGGGGGAGACCTCATGCCACTGATATCCGATTACTAGGAAACAGAAATACTCCAAAGAGTTCTCTAGATTTTCCAAGAGCAGCAAGCAGATAAATATAATGCTTTAAAATAGTAAAATATTTCGCAAATAAAAATCAATATCTGAAGTACAATGTTTAAAGTAAAATAACAAAGACCTTCATTTTTCATTTGATGTGGTTACGCATAAAATATATTTTTTGTTGTTTTATATTCGAAAAAGTGCGATCTTGATTTATAAATTTAAAATATTTTCCGACAGTATTGGAATTTTCCTTTCAGATAAAAAACAAAGCATTTTTATAAAACATTCAATTTTTTAATCTAGTAAGGAATATCAAGTAATTTTAACCGAAAAAGAGATGTATGTATCAGTTACTATAATAAAACATTTTTATCCGAATGAAATATAATACAAATATTAGAAAAATGAAATCAAGGGTTTTTCCTTACTTTTAATCCAGACATACTCCTTTGCAAACAGTACAACTAATGGTAAGTGACAACGTCTGCCCCCAATTTCTTATCCAAGAAGAAGC